ACAGAGACAGGAAGATGGAGAACCTTCCGCTGCTTTCCAGCAGTGTGGTTTGTAGAGAAAGGGCTCGTTTATCCTTCCTAAAACCTTCCTAGTATGCCCTTGTCACCCTTCCTTGTGAACTGGTACAGCATTGGTGGTCAAAATATCTTTACAGAAATGCTGTAGCCCCTGTCCCTTCACTTTCTCTCCTGTAGATGCAGGAACAACCCACAGTTCCCATTCATATCATTCTTTTTTTTTCCTTTTATCAGTCCTCAAAAGCATTTTCCCATAACTTTTCTTTATGGTCTGCACAATTTGATACTAACACTTCTGCAAAGTCTGAAAAACTGCTGTCTTCCTCCCCAGCCACACACACTTCTCTATAGGCTCAGAGAGATATAAAGTTATTTTTGTTACTTGAAATTTGAATGGTGGAAGCTGTGTACCGCTGAAGGAGGAGCAAGATGTTGAGTTTTCACTTCAGGCAGATACAGAGGTTTTATCCCACCACATCTTGGTGTGTGAGTTTGCATCACCAAAGAATAAATTACTGCAGTCCGGTAGCTGCTCCGTCTGGTGCAGAGGGATCATCTCACCCTCAGTTGCCCTCTGCATTAAAGGGATGAAAATGGCCCTGCCACCCTCTGCCACACTGGGCGTGAGCTCTGACTTGCACTGAGACAGCCTCACAAAAACCTGATGTGATTAATGGAAATTGTGAGTTTAGAACCAGCCAAAGCTGAGCAGAAACCGCTAAATAAGAATAATAACCTCCTTGTTTCCCAGCAATCACTTCTGTGCAACATCAACTCCTGTTCACATAGTGCTGAAGCAGTTTTGAGGGATGCTGAGCGCAGAAGGGAGAAGTGAAGGCCACGAGGAATCTGTGAGAAGGCCGCTACAACACACCTGGCAGCTGGGTATCCTGAATATCCTAATCTGCCTGCCCTTCATCCTTTGGGTCCACTGCTAATTTGCTAGGTGATTTTAGGACAAAGTGACAAACTAAGCTATTGTGAATAGAAGAGAAACACCTCTTAAGGTCTTCTGAAGTAACGTTTTCTGGCAAGAACCACTCTGGTAGTAGCACAGAGATTGTGAGGAACCAAAGCTAATCAGCAGTTCTTGTGGTGGTGGCCTGCAGGAGCTCATCTGAGGGACCCCAAGATGTGGGATAACATTGATTCAATGTGAATATACATTTTGAGAGATAGAAGGTGCCCCTAGAAAAAGGGCACTCATACTTCTGAAAACGCACCCAGAAACTGAACATATCTGAAGGCACCAAAAATAGAAGCTTTGTACATGACTACAGAGATTGCAAAAAAACCTGGACAACTACAGCTGTTCATGGTCTGTGTATTTTGTTTACATGATTTGATGGTAATATCCAAGGACAAAAAATAGTTATCTGCCTCTATCATATATATTCAAACAAACAAAAAGCTATTGTACAGGAGGATGATAATACCAGGAACTGACATCTTCCTTCTCCATTTATCTCAGCAATGCACTCTTAGTCTGGTGACTGTGATATTGAGTATTGTCAGGTTGGGTTTCCACTAATTAATGAAAAGCAGGCTGAAAGCACAAAGGATTAATTTGGCCTATTCAGTCTGATCACAAACATTTTGAGAATCTGTTTAGCTTTTTTGAATGGTGTGAGGTAAACTGAGAGAAACAACATCTTGTTTCGGTTAGTCAGCCACAAAAGAAACGTGGATTTACCCAACGGGGTCAAAGCAAAGCAAAGCAGAGTGTTGTTCCCAGGAGCCAGACAAGGCTGTTGTCTTCTGGAGAAGGCTGATACTGGGCTCTAACAACTTTTAGAGCTGCTAAATATCCCTGAGGATTCCAGAAGGGAGCTTTGTTCTGGCTTCAGTAGGAGTCTTGCACTGCCAGTATCAGGTCCATCTAGCAACTCCTGCTGTACTTTTTGGCAGCCACAGGTCCTTTTACAAGGATTTTGCTGTCAGTGTAACACAAAGCATGTCAGTCAGGCTCTCAGCTGGTGAAATCAATGAACCTGGCCAGTGAAAAGACCTGCAAGCTATATTCAGGTCCTACTTGCATAGTATTGTCTTTGATTAAATTATATTCAGACACAAGCAAAGAGATAATTGGCATATGTATTACTGCAAAACACATGTAAAACAATTCTCCTAGGCTTAGGAGAAATACATAAATATGTACTTAGGCTGGTGTGCTAGCAACGAGCTACTTGCTTGCTTCAAGGAAAGCTGTACACTGACTTAATTACATGTTATGCCGATCAATGAAAGGTCAAAACAGTTGAATCAATATTTTATTACACTCTTGTAAACTGTAGTTATTAGACTATGAATGGCTGACAAGTTTAAAAGCATGTAACTGAATCAAAGTCAGACTGTTATGTGTGCAATTTAGAAACAGTTAATACCTTCCAATTGAGAGGATTTGTTTCTAATTAATATGAAAGCTGTTTATTTAAATCCTAGGCAGGCAGTATTTAAACACAACAACAAGTCACCTGGGAATTCCATCTAAACCACTTTGTGAAATCTGTTATGTTGTGCTGAAATAAATCCAGCATGAAGTAACTGTACCTGCTTCATTTAGAGTGCAGAGTTGTTTTCTGCATGCTGTTTTCCTCCTTTCTTTTCTTCTAAATATAGTAAAACATGCCTGGCCTTGTTCCTGATTAAGTAATCATGTAAGTTACAGGATAGATGCAGCTTCCTGTACTTTTATTGCATGCATATTCTCAACCATCCGTTGGCAGCTCTTGTTCAAAATGAAAGACAAGCCCTGGCAAAAGGAACATAGAGTGTCAATAAGCCAGAAAGGTGTGTGGAGACACGTGGTGTGCTGACCAACACCTACAGACTTACCAGAACAGTTACTCATATTTTTTTTTACGTGCAAAAAATTCAATTTAGTTTTTCCCTTGCCAAAGGGTGATGTGGAATAAGTAACACTTTTTTTTAAATTAAAAATACACTTAAAAAAAAAGAATATGAAAAAACCCACAATTTCAATGAGTCCATCTTTCACCAACAGTACATTCCTCTTATTAATCTCCACCAGATACTTTCATTTTCTCCCCTCCATTTTTTTCCCATTTCATCTAACCTCCCTGTTCCCTATCTACAAGCTCCGTGGTGACAGTGAGACCTGCAGCCCATCCCAGATCTGTTTAGGATTTATATGGGCCTATGAAAAGCCAACAACACTGGTGAAAGGTGGTACTGGTAACTGTCTGCGCCACCTGTAGTTCCTAGAGTAGGTTGTGAATCTTTGCAAAGTTTCCTATGGAAAAAAAAAAAAAAACACAAAAACAAACCAAAACAACAACAACAAAACAAAAATTAAAAGAAAGCTGGGTTTTGGTATCTTATGATTTAGGCTAGGTTTCTTACTGAGATTTTATAGAATCATAGAATAGTTAGGGTTAGAAAGGACCTTAAGACCATCTACTTCCAACCCCCCTGCTCTGGGCAGGGACACCTCCCACTAAACCATGTCACCCAAGGCTCTGTCCATCTGGGCCTTGAACACCACCAGGGATGGAGCATTCACAGCCTCCCTGGGCAACCCATTCCAGTGCCTCACCACCCTCATAATAAAGAATTTCTTCCTTATATCCAATTTAAACTTCCCCTGTTTAAGTTTTAACCCATTACCCCTTGTCCTGTCACTACAGTCCCTAATGAAGAGTCCATCCCCAGCATCCCTATGGGCCACCTTCAGGTACTGGAAGGCTGCTATGAGGTCTCCACGCAGCCTTCTCTTCCCCAGGCTGAACAGCTCCAACTTTCTCAGCCTATCTTCATATGGGAGGTGCTTCAGTCCCCGGATCATCCTCGTGGCCCTCCTCTGGACTTGTTCCAACAGTTCCATGTCCTTTTTATGTTGAGGACACCAGAACTGCACACAATACTCCAGATGAGGTCCCACAAGAGTAGAGTAGAGGGGCAAGATCACCTCCTTCGACCTGCTGATCACGCTCCTTTTGATGCAGCCCAGGATACGGTTGGCTTTCTGGGCTGCAAGCGCACACTGAAGCCAGCTCATGTTCATTTTCTCATCAACCAGCACCCCCAAGTCCTTCTCCACAGGGCTGCTCTGAATCTCTTCTCTGCCCAGCCTGTAGCTGTGCCTGGGATTGCTCCAACCCAGGTGTAGGACCTTGCACCTGGCATGGTTAAACTTCATGAGGTTGGCATCAGCCCACCTCACAAGCATGTCAAGGTCCCTCTGGATGGCATTCCTTCCCTCCAGCGTATCAACAGAACCACACAGCTTGGTGTCATCGACAAACTTGCTGAGGGCGCACTCAATCCCATTGTCCATGTCAGCGACAAAGATGTTGAACAAGACCCGTCCCAACACTGATCCCTGAGGGACACCACTCATTATGGTCTCCAACTGGACATTGAGCCATTGACCGCAACTCTTTGTGTGTGCCCATCCAGCCAGTTCTTTATCCACCGAGTGGTCCATCCATCAAATTGGGTCTCTCCAATTTAGAGACAAGAATGTCATGTGGGACAGTGTAGAATGCTTTGCACAAGTCCAGGTAGATGATGTCAGCTACTCTACCGCTGTCCATCAGTTCTTTAGCCCCATCATAAAAGGCCACCAAATTGGTCAGGCAGGATTTCCCCTTAAGTGAAGCCATGCTGGCTGTCACCAAGCACCTTGTTGCTTTTCATGTGCCTTAGCATGCCTTCCAGGAGAATCTGCTCCAAGATTTTGCCAGGCACAGAGTTAAGACTGACTGGTCTGTAGTTCCCTGGCTTTGTTGAGTGGGTCTTAGGAAGGAGTCAGGAGTGACCACTCCAGTGGCTCTCTCATTTCCATCTTGCCAAAGTGGTGCACCCCTCACAAATTTAGGGGATCCAATGCCTTTATTTCATTTTCACCTGCCATGGTTGCAAAATCATCCACAATTAACTTTCCCTGCTTCTTAATTGTCTGCTAATGAGGTGTTTACAGAGTATTTCTTCCTTCACACCCTTTCGGCTGAGCACAGTCCCCAGCAGTGCTCATCCATTCCCACCTGCACTTAAATCCAGGGATGGCTTCCCTGTAGGTAAGTGTGAGTGATGTAAATGTGTTTAGCTGGCAGCTCTTTCAGTTGGTACATAGCATATTCCTCTGAAAGATAAAAACCCATTAGTTTAAGTGTGGAGCTCTATTTCTGCAAGGCTTCCCTGCCACAGATGTTTTCTTGTTGTGTGTTGTGGCATCTCTGTAAGATACAGCAAGAGAGAAAAGCCTGGTATTTCAGTCAGTGGGGAGGTACAGCGTCATATCAGGACTGGTGAGCAAGGAATGTTGTTGTCCTGGCTCACAGGAATATTTGCCATGTAGACAGTTGTAATTTACAGGGAATAAATGAATCAATTTAGATAACAGAATGAGGCCAAGCCTCATCTGTGCTTTTTTTTTCCTCTCCCTTGCATAAAAATAGTTGCACTGCCTCCTAGCAAACTCGATTCTGGACAGCTCTGCATTTTCCTGTCTGTTGTGCCTCTGAACAGTTGTCTCATGCTATGTATTTTAGGATGCATGTGTTTCTAAACAGGGGAAAGTGATTTCCCATAAAAATGATAAATCCCACTGTAAATTGAGGCCCAAACTCTGTGTGAGATCTTGGATTTTGACTGCTGACTGAAATATAAGCACAGCATTCATCAGCTTTCGGGATACTTCGGCTCTAATAGTAAGTTGGGTTGCTCGTGGCATGGAAGGTATCAGGATGTTACCTGTCAACTTCAGCAGTGCTTGGAATGGGTCCTCCATAAACCACAGGTGCGCTAAATTAGGTTAGACCATTTCAGGTTGGGCTGTGTGCCTTGGGGTGAATCCAGAAGGAATCACTGTCAGTGATCAAATATTGATATATTGACATACCCACTGATGTTACTGTAATTTGAGTCATTTATGAGTCCTTGCTTAGCAGACACTTAGAACTAGGTTAACTTAGAGCCTGCATTATCCGTGTGCCTGAAGAGCAGGTGGCCAGTCAATGCTCAGGTGGGGATTATTGCTGCCGACGGTGTTAGAAATCTTGCTCTGCACCTGCCTCCTCCTCATAACATGCACGCAGATAAAAAGAGTCCGGTTCCCTGGCACTGCCAACCAACCTCTCCAATCTTTCAAAAACAAATACTCAACCTGGACTGTAAACTAAAATAGAAAATAAGAGTTACCACTACCTTCTATTGACTGTTGATTGACCTGAGCACTCTCCAATAGCGAACATAAAAGATTAGATATCGCTTTCCATACAGGTGTTTAAGCAGGCCATTTATTTTTTTTTTCCTTACCGGGAGACTGAATTGTTCAAAGTTCTGGAAAATATCTGTGTGCAGCTTTACCAGTGTACTTAGCAAAAGGAAGGTATTGCCTTTTGCCTTCAAAGGTGATGATTTACAATGTCCTGTCTAGTGTTTCCAAAATCAAGAGTTTTGTTTAAGCTTAGCAGAATGTACTGAAAGGAGGTTTCTGACACGGTGTGTGTATTTACAGTGCAAACACAGGGACAGGCTTTTTAGAAATGAATTACTCAAAGTGATATCACACAGGAAATAGCTAGCGCTACCAGGGATGAAGTGTCAGGGTCCCCTTCTTAGAGACTGACATAAGCCAAGAGAAACACCAACAAAGAATAGGTGCCATGTGGTAAAACCAGCCTGGCATGGGGAGGGATCAGAATGAAGTTGGAGTTTCTACTCAGAGGAGAGAAACAGCATCCTTGACTGTTATGCACAGTTTTGAGCCCCAGGTTCACTAATGGTCTTCAGTAAAACAGCTATGATTTCTGGCTTGTTTCTTGAGTGGTTTGGTATTTCCCAAAACATGGGGTTCCTCAATTTCTCCTGAAGTGCTACCGAAAGCAATCTTTTGCAAGAATTTGAGATGAAATGTCTGTCCCACAGTGATGGGTCACTATTGAACAGATATCACTGCAGGTGAATTGCAGTGCAAGAGAAACTTTGCTTGGACAAATAAGGCTTTCTAAACTGTCACTGAGGAATTAAGGGGAAAAAAAACCCAACAAAACTGGATTCAGCTTCAGCCCTTGGCATCAAAAATGAAAGCACATAATTACTTAAAAAGTGGTTAGCCTGCAATGAAAGGCCTTTGCAGCACTTAGCAAAGAGAAAGAATAAATCTATCCCTCTACTTCTCTCTACAAGAATAAGTTATTTCAGAGTCAAACTGTCCAACCTGAAAGGATTTATTCATCTAACAGATTAAACACAAAAGCTATGTTGACATTTCTACCTGGCTTTTTTTCCTAATTAAGACAGATTATTAGATGGTGGCCGATGCTCCTGTGAACTATATCCTTGTGGCTACTTGAAACCAAAGACAAGATTGTCCTTTCCTTCACCAGTGTGTTTGCTGGTGTCCCATGGTACAGAGCAGCCACTGAAGAGATGCTGTGTTTTAGTTGCTGATGTGTTTCAGGCATGGTCAGAGGGTGGTCGCAAGCTATTGAAGATGTGATGAAGGCAAGGTTAGGTCCATGCTGCTTGTTGAGGGTCTCCATGTGGACGTTCTCAAGCCTGACAAACCGCACACACAGACAGATGTGGGATGGGTCTGGGATAGATGTGAACTCTGAACAGCTGGCACCGGCACTCCCACTTGTGCCTGGCTCCTTGCAGCCACCACACATTCATGTGGGTATGGGGTGGGTGGGCAGCGTGGGCCACCATCACTGTGGCACTTTTCCAGACAATACAAACACAACAATTTGATCTAGTCCTATTTAAGACTCATTTCAGATGCCTTTACCTAAAACTGCATTCTCTCTCTTTTGAGTGGTTACTTTCTATCTTATCTTGTGAGGAAATATTCCTACTTCTTTGCTTGGAGTTGATCCTAAAAGAATTTGCTGCCTTTCTGGATTATTTTGAAAATGCTTTCCTGTGATTGCTCATTTTGTGGCCAATTTCTTGACTAATGATTTGGATTGGGAGATGATGATTTGTATTTTAAGGCCTTCATATTTCTTGGTCTCAATATTTTCTTTTCTGTGAGCTCTACGAATCACAACTGCCCATCCACCCTAAAGAGGAAAGGGTTAATGCCTCTTTTAGATTTCACTGCAGGATTTGAATTCAGGAATTGTGTAACTTCTTCATAGCCAAAATACATTTATTAAGTGATGACCAGTTGTGGGCTTTAGCGCACCCTAATGTGGTGTTGAGTTTTACCTTGTGTACAGTCCCTATACCGTAGGCCACTGTTATATGTTTTAATTGACAGTGATTTATGTAACAGGAATAGATTGCAGTAAATCACTTCAGACTTTTCCATTCTTCAGGCTGTAATATGCAGGTTGTTGAGTCCCAGCCAGGAGCTTCAAACTGTAAGTAAAGCGCTCTGCTCATGAGGCTACATAGAATATATGCTCATTTGTAGCACATGTCAGACTCTGTATCAGTAACCAGCTATTCAACAGAGCAGAGATTATGACCTCCAAGTTTGTTTATGCGTCTGCTTCTTTGCCTGTGGCAGATATGTGGTCAGTTCTCTTTCCCAGTAATGCAGAGCAGAAATCTACCTCCCCAGTTTCTTACATTTCTGCTGAACATCCTAATCTTGTACTAGTCCAAGGTGGCTCTGCATCAGCAGTCAAGGACTGGAGTCCTGACCGCACTGTACCCCCTTGTGCTGCAGCAGAGAAAATAAGATAAAGTGATTAAGGGATTGAGCTTATTGCAACCTTGCTTCCTCTCTGGGCAAAGGCCAGCTTGGGCTTTCCAAGCATACACTGCATCCCTTGCTGCCCAGCTCTGTACTGCCTTCATTCAGCCCCTTTGGGTACGCCATGAGCCACAAGCCTGAAACTAAAAATGCAGTAATAAAGTCAGTGTGTACCTGGTACTGTTTGTCATGGAAGACTTCAAAGAAAACTGAAAACTTAGAATTGGCAATAAAAAATAGGAGCATGTAAAGTGTTTTTCCCTGTTTCAAACTGTACCACAATAAACAATCAGAAATCAAGAAGAGGGAGGCACAGCGCATGCTTGGCTGAGTCTCAAACAGGGGGAGAGATTGTGGTTGTTCTGTGAGGGAGTTCAAGGAAAAGACACCCTTTTGGCTCTGAACTTGCTAGTTCAAGGCTGTGCATGTGCTGAGAGAGTATTGAGCCCAAGCGGATACTCCTGGCTAAGAGGAAAAGCCCATGTGTGTGTCAGGCTGATAAAGCTGCTGGTCCTGCTGCAAGTGTGTCTGCATGGCAGTGTGCTCTTCCATGTGGAGGTACAGCCCCTGTGGGCACTGTGCTCCCCTGGATTCTGCCCCTATTTCAAACTGCCTTGGGCAGTTTGCTTGCTTTAAAAATGTACTGCAAAGCTTCCTTTCTCTCCCCTTGTGCTTATTGAAATCGTCAGATCTGTCAGAACTATGAAGGAGTTGTATCTGGCACATATACGCCCTTACTTCCCATAAGCGTTGCTAATTCAAGTGTTTCTGGGGGTGCTGGGCAGAACACCACAGAGCCCATGAAGGGTTTCATGGCCATGGATAAAATCCATGTTCTGCCCAGTACATTCACAGAGAACCAGAGTACCCTTTCTCTTAGACTTCTAGACCAGTATAATATTAGCATAGCCTACAGCCAGTCACTCTCAATCTGCTGGTGTTTCTCAGACCTGTCTGCCATTCATGGAGCTAATCTATACACATAGATTCCATGTCATCCTTCTAGCATGTATGAATTTGCTTTCCTAACCACCATCAGAAGGCTCAGGTCAACAGTCTCTCCTGTGGCCGAGTGAGCATTAAGACTTAGTGAACTTCAGCTGTTGTGTCCAGACAACCCAATGTTCTTCTACCATTACACGTTCAGCAAGAACCACAACCACATTCACCTGAAAGCTAGGAGCATCATCGCAATCAGACCATCACTTTTGAAGTCTTCACTGACTAAGCTATTTTGTAGCTTCATGCTGGGGCATGAGGGATGAACTACTGTTATGGCATGCATTTCCATGCTGGACGTGAGTCACTAAAGATGGACATGAGAAAGCATAACCATTATAGGGAGGATACCCATGCCATTGCTGTCCT